TTCCGTTTTATATGAATTCCATGTTGTACGAGTCACTTAGATTTTACAAATACGTGTGCTGGGCTGTGAACGGCTCACGTATTTGTTAAATCTAAGTGACTCGTACAACATGGAATTCATATAAAACGGAATAATCAACAGTGTTATGGGGGGGCAACTTGTATATTTTAAAACGTATATACAGTAAAACCTGTATAAACCGGAATCCTACGGTACAGAATATTTTTCCGGTTTGGCAGGTTTGTTATGATTAGAATCTTCTTCTTTTTTTTAATCGTAGAAAATCGCTCCGTTACGAAGAATTATTTCCGTTTATTCAGGTTTTCGTTATATTCGGGTTTCGTTTTGGACAGGTTTTACTGTACTATAAAATTTTAACGTCATTCTGCGTATCACATTTAATAATAGGCTATAAAGAATTAATGGTGTATCTAAATTGTACTGTAATTAAGATTGGATGTGGAATCTGCTAAACAAAATTTTCATTTTCTTCATTAAAATGTTTAAATGATTTTATTAATAAATACATATGATTTACCAGAAAAACGTATAGGCTACTTTTATAAATTATGAAAGAAAATCATATAAACCATTAATTTTCACTTATTTATTCCCTCATCGAAATCTTTCATATGTAAATATGGGCTGGTTTGGATTAATAGAATAAGACAAAACAATACTTGGACAATCATACTGTACTTTTAATGCACACATACATCGCGATTAAATTTTACATTTGGTTATTTTATAAGATTTCACGATGGGGTTACCCCCAGAATCATCATTAAAATGCATTGTCATCGGATTTAGGTACATTATCTAAGTTTCAGCTTTATGTCTTGATTAGAAGTGGATGAAATTTGAGTTGCAAGATTTGAAGACAAGTTAAATAAAAGCATTTAAAAATGAACATAATTGTGTGGCATTTATTTGGTATAGTTTAACACCTAAATAGGGGCAGTTTCCCATAGAAAGACCTCTCAAGAGACACCCACCCCCTCTCAGCAAATCGCCCATGTTTTGCGTTGCCTTATTTCGTTAATCCAATTCAATCTTAGAATAAAGGACCATTTTAAATTAAAAATAATCAGTTTATTAATTATAAAACTTACTTAATACTGTGATTTTAGAATAAAATATATTAAATTATTATTATTATTATTATTTTGTTTTTTTAATATAGAACTCAGGTGTTGGAAAATCAGCAATAATTCAGAGATGTATTCGGGACGATTTTGATTTGAATTATGAAAATACTGTAGGGTAAATATGAATATATATTATTTATATTAAAATTATATAAATTTTAATAATCGAAACAATTACAGGGTCTGTTTTTTTAAACACGATATAAACGTAAATGGAGAATATTATACATTGAAAATATGGGACACTGCAGGACAAGAAAGAGTAATTTAATATATTTTTATTTATAAAAATTTATGTTTATATTTTATTTTTATAATATTACACTTTTTAGTTTCGTGTTATTTCACGTCTCTATTATCGAGATGCCAAAGGCGTTATTATAGTTTATGATATTACTCTAAAGGTAAATAATTACTGTAATATGAAATATTCAATTTCTTTATTGATAAATTAATGAAACTATAATTTGTATTTTGAAATATTTAATAAATTTCTTCAGGATAGTTTCGTCGCTTTAAAAAATTGGGTCAGAGAAGTACGACAAATGGCACCTCCCAATATAGTGATTGCAATTGCTGGGAATAAAAGTGATTTAACAAACTGTAGAGCAATATCATACGATGGTAAAGTATTCTTCTTATATGTATATACAGTCGACCCCCCTATAACACTATTGATTATTCCGTTTTATATGAATTCCATGTTGTACGAGTCACTTAGATTTTACAAATACGTGAGCCGTTCACAGCCCGGCACACGTATTTGTAAAATTTAAGTGACTCGTACAACACGGAATTCATATAAAACGGAATAATCAACAGTGTTATAG